CCACATAATTATTGAGAGAAAGAACTATATGTACATGTATAGACCAAGTGCAAAGGAATTTAAACATGGGGTTACGGCTAAGCACAGAAGTAAATAATCAATTTCTATATATTCTATTAGAGTGACCCACATAAGCAATACCAAGGAAAGAACTGCCACACATGCTATTGGCTAGCAGCACGGAGGGCCTGCCAATCATTAAACAGTAGAGAGTGGAATCCTATTAGAGGAGAGAAGCAAATATCTGCTGTTTAACCGGATTAGCCATAAAGCTTCAATAATAAATTTAGAGTGTAAATCCAAAGAAATCTGCCTGTGGAGAACAGCAAATGTTTAGATGCTTGATGTGGCATTTATCTGAAGATCAAATACAGCTGTCCTCTCACATAGATTGCTTTAGTGGATCACCCTGATATTCACCATCCATTTTGTCCCAATCTAAGTAGCAACTCAGGTGAGGCAGCATACAAGCAAGCGGCCTGTCACTGCACAGCTTGCTCTGAGGTAACACAGTTTTCCTGCCCCAGAATGTGGAATTAGGATAGGTGGAAACTCACAGTACAACAATTGACCACAGTACTGATTGAGCTGCAGCATGGTTTAAGCCTTGCACAGAGAGGTAGAAAAAGGAAGGAGAATACAGAAAAAATATTTTGTTTGCAATTCTGGTTGTCCCACCTCAAGAGGAGACTGCAGAAATGGAGAAGGTTCAAAACGGGGACAACTGCAAACCAGAGGGATGTTGAAGCATTTTTCTTACAGAGAGTCTGCATCTATTTCATTGGGAATTAAAAGAAATGGGGAACTTCCTAAAGGCTTATAAACCTATGAATAGTAGGGAGAGAGTGAAAGGATGAAAATGTATTCATTGTTCCTTTTCAAAACACACCCAAAATTATTCAAGGAAATTGATCGGTTCAGAACACAAATAAGAAAACATGCCTTCATACAATAAATAATTAAATGCCATTCACTACTGCATGAAAAAGGATAAGGTAGTAATGGTTACTATCTCAGAGGGCTTCAAATCAAGATTACACATAGTTGTAACAGGATGGGGCTATTAGCCAGGACAGTTAGAAAGTAAAACATCCATGTTCAGAACTGGAACTTTTGCTTGCCAAGTGCAGGGCATAAAGAATGAGAGGATGGCTATTGCCATTGTGTCCTGGCTGTTAATTTCCCAGTAGTACCTGGCCAGCCACCACTGGAGACCAATTGCTGCAGGCTAATTAGATGTTTGGTCTGGTCCCACAAGGTGATCCTTATGTTCTTATGCAAGTTCTACATGATGTGAATGTAACTAATTTCTTTCAGTGTCTACCAGAGGCAGTTTTAACAGCTAATGGTCCATTTTGCAATTAGTTAAACAAGTTGTGGGAGGATGGATGTGTGCAGCAAAGTGTCAGCCTCAGACAACTAGCTGATGCCCTGAAGCACAATATTTGACCTGCTCCTTCACTTTACATTAGGGCTGAGCTAAATACAATTCAGGTTCTCACTTCATCAGGGTCATAATTGTATATAAACAAGCTTCAAACAGCAGTGAATGCTAATAATCCATGTAGAGTCACAGACAGTTCAGTCAAAATATTAATCAAGAGCAGAAACACCACCATTTACTGAATCCTGGTTTAACAGAAATTTTGTGGGGAGGGTGGTATATAAAAAAAATAAACAAATAAATAAATATAATCCTGGTGCCCTCCCCCCCAATCAATGTTAAGCGATTAAATTAGCAGTTGTAAATGCTCAAATACTTTGAATAAAGTGAAATACAACTATGGAAACTATGAATAACAAGTATGAGTATTCCTTCTCAGGCCACTAGGGTTCTTGAGACAGTTCAGGCTGAGTACAGACTGTTCAGTATTGACTTTGTATTCAAAGCCCCTTGTTAAGACTGATATTGTTGCATAAGTCTCACTCTCTCACACTTATTTTTCCAGTGTTCAAATTCCACTGCTTTTGGAGTTTGGTAAAAACTACAGCTGTTGTATTGTTGTCTATCATGAGACTGTTAAAGGTACAGAAAACTCTACCAGGAAAAATGGCTACTTGACTTCCTTGCTCACTGGTACAAAGCCCATCAACAAGACTCTTTTTATATGCTTTGACTTGCAATGCAATTGGTAGCTAGAATCCACCCCAAAGAAATGGGACAGTTCATATCTCATAGTTATTGTTTCATGCTAACTGTACAATTCTATGCATATTTACTGAGAGGCATGTCCCACTGAGTTCAATGATCCTTACTCCACTGAATGAGATATATGGCCATTGGACTGCAGCCTCAGACTCCTACTAAACATTTAGCCTTTATGTTGCAGAGCTGAAAGTAGAATGAATAATATTGCTTTCCGAATGAAACTCAATGATAAATTCACTCTTAAACAACCCTTTTGAAGAAAAACTACAAACATTTCCAGATTGACTTCCCAGGTATACAAGTTTAAACCTTTTTGTGGCACATAAGAAGTCTTAAGAAAAGAATGGCGCCTCATCCAGTTTACAAAACCTCACCTGTTAGGAGGGAAATGACTATATACAAACTTGCTTTAGCCACTTCTTTAAAAATCCCTCTCATCAACTGGATGAAAAAGTACACAGGAATTTGGATCCCTCAGAACCTAAGGTTGTTGTTTTTTCTGTATTAAACATTTTTCATTGGACCCACATAGCATGTGTGTATAATGTACAGGTTGCATATGTATGTACCCATATACAACTCACCCAGAAAATCAAGGCAATTAGAACTTATAGCAAAAGCAAAGCTTTGTAGAGGTCTAGCAGAAATAAAGATCCTTTTAACATCCACTGCATCCCCAAGCTGACTATTGCATAACTCAATGTTCACACTTAATGCATAAGACAATGACAAATAGTAATGAGCAATAGTGCAGGGTAATAGTTAATGAAGAACTTTTCCACCTTGCCTCTACACTAGCGCTGATTATCCATACATTAGTAATAGCACTGTCAGTACAATGAATGACAAGCATAATCAAACTCAATTTCCCCTTCATCTCTGCCTCTGATCTCTCTGCTTTTCCTGCTTCTCTTGATGCCATTGGTTAATGTGACAATAGGCTTGTACAGACAGGGAACTCATGGCCCTTCTAGCTGCTATTGGCTTAGCTAACAATACCTTAGAAAAGCAAACTTGCCCAGGCTTTAGATTTTTGAAGTTGAATGGTAAGATTTTGTGCATCCTGCATGGAATGAGACCCAGATATAGCAGGTTTGATTCTCAAAAGTTCACACACCCCAAGATCTCGTTGGTCTCTAGGGTGCTACTAGACTGGTATCTAGCTTTGTATCTTGGCTTTGCATACCAACATGGCTACCCTCTGACCAATTCCAGAGAATCAAAGCTCTTTCTTTCAGATCAACTTTGACTCTCGAAAGCTCATATCCCCAAAATCTTGCTGGCCTCTAGGGTGCTACTGGACTGGTATCTAGCTGGTCTACTGCAGACCAATATGGCTACCCTCTGACTGATTCCAGAGAAAGACTGCAGTCACTCAGCCAGTATCCATCACCAAGGTATCACTGGACTGAAATCTAGCTCCTTCTCTGGAATGGCACAGATAACACTTGCTGCTTATCATGTAGGATGTTAAAAGTAGCAGATTTGGGGAAACTGGAATCAGAAAATGTTGCAATGCGTCCATATTTAATGTATGCACAACTAACAAGATACAGATTACATCTTCTTGAAAATATCTACAGAAAATCCTGGACCTCTTCCAGTGCAATTCTAAACAGAGTTGCGCCATTCTGGAGGTATAAGAACATAAGAGACGCCAATGTTGGATCAGGCCAAAGGCCCATCCAGTCCAACACTCTGTGTCACACAGTGGCCAGAAATACCAGTTCCATCAGGAGGTCCACCAGTGGGGCCAGGACATTAGAGTCCTCCCACTGTTGACCCCCCCCCCCCAAGCACCAAGAAGACAGAGCATCACTTGCCCCAGAGCCCCTTGTGGCTAATAGCCACTGATGGACTGATGGAGTGTAACTCTGCTTTGGACTGCATTGTTCATATCCCACTTCAGAATTCATTTCAGCCCTAGGACCGTCCACACCATGCTCCTTTCTCACTAACCTGTAGTACAATTCTATGCATGCTTGTCTGGAAAGTGTTCAAGCAACTAGACACAGGATTGCAAGCAACTAAGCAACTAGACACAGGATTGCAGCCTTAGCCACTTTGCTCAGGACCTCCCCCTGCTTACAGTTACCATATTCCCTGAACATTTTAATGCCCTTGAATAGGAACGTTCCTACATAAGATTATCCTTGAACCCTACAGAAGGAAAACTGTGTCATAGTTTGTCTTAAACACATGGGTTTTTTTCTAAACACCGATGCTCCTGATTTCAGACTCTCACAGCTCCTTAAAACATAATCTCAGATTTTCAAATACGAATATGATCTGAGTGTTCCTTTTTCAGAAATCTTTGTGTGGCAATCCCCACCTTCTCTCAACGCCCGTCACCCGGGGAGGTTCTCTCAGCACCAGGTAAGCTGCTTCCCCTGTCCTAAATCAGGCCCATTCAACCTCTCCTTAGCCATCCCTACGCCAAAACGGATCGCCTCCGCACCGATCCACAAGAGGGGGGCGACGCTTCGCTTCCCTTCCCTCCCCGATGCCGCTATACCCCCCCGCCCCCTCCCAGTCCGGCACTCACCATCCTCTACGCGGCTCCCGGTTACCATGGGCAACTGCGTCATGCGCACGCGCGCACTCCCTTACTCTACGTAAGGCGTCATTCCCGAGTACGTTTGCTCAGGCTAAGGTAGGAGCCGGTGCAGAAAAGCTCCGCCCCTTAGCTGGCGCATGCGGGCTGTCTCTTTGAAAGCGGACAGAGCCTTCAGTGGGGCTAGTCGGCTTCTTATTGGTCAAGAAGGGCCACGCGTCCCAGACAGAAGGTTGGGAGGGGCGGTCATATCCATGTGCGCGGCAGGGGGGGGGGATTTCTGTGCTGAATGGTGTTACGAGAATTGGAGGTATGAGTTGCACTGGGAAGAGGAGAATTGTCACGAAGCGTAAGAGAATAGGGAGGGCTGCCTGCAGAACAAGCCACAGGGCCTGTGTAGTTGAATGAATGGGTGTCCCAGAAGGCGGGAAAGGCAGGGCTCTAGGAAGGACAGGTTAGTGAGATGTGGCAAAGGGAAGAAGTGCTGGCTTTGCAAAAGACTGAGGCGCTGTCGAAACTGCCCGGCAGGTTCGGAGGCAAGCTCGACAATCTGGGACAGTCCCGGAGAAAAAAATTGGTTCCCAGATCCTCGTTCAGCACGACGTTCTGTGAGCAGACTGAATAAAGAGCTGAGGTTTATACGTCTCTTGTAATCCAAGATAGGTATTAGGCAACCCTGAATTATGCAACCCCGTGACCCGGTGACTGTTCTCTGTGACAGAAGAAACTAGGATCCAAGAACCCTCTTTGCCTTTATTGCCCCAGGAGTTTGAGCCCCATTAGGTAGTGAAGCTATTTTCTAAAATTATTATTTCTGAAGTATTTCGAAAGTTGTTGGGGCTGTTGCTTAGTCTCATCATCTGTAGAGTAGGGATGAGTTACAAAGTCAACAGAAGGGAAGAGGCTGCAGCAGTGAAATTTGGCATCGGATATGTGAAAAATCTTCTATAGTTGCTTTGAGAGCAGGTTGATGTCTTGGGTGGAGGGAGACAAAAGCAGTATAGATGCATGAAACTGCTTTTTTTGTTAGACCAAAGATTCAGTATTATGGCTTAAGCAGTGGCCTGCCATATGCTTCAAGGAAACTCTTAAGCAATCAATAGACACTAACTTTTTCTTAATTATTGGAACCAGCCATCCATATTTGCGGTTCCAGGGTTATAAAACTGTATCATGTCCCTTGCTTTTAATTTTCCCCCTTAAACAAAACAACACCATCACTTTTATTTTTTTTCTGGTTGTGAAGATTTGCCAACTCCTTGACCACATCTGTATTTCAGTTTGCTTTGGAATTTGCAGCTTTTTTTGCAATGCTATGGCTAGAACTGCATAAGTATTTTAAATGTGGCTACATTATAGCTTTACGTAGGGCTCTTATGGCCTCCAGAGATATTATTACTTGCTAATTGATTTTCAATCCCTTTCCTAACATGGGGCTGAATCCTATGCTCTATTAGCAGAAGGTACAGTTGGGGGTGGAACCTTCCTGTGTTCCTCCTTTGAAATGCGAACTACATGTCTAAATGTGCATGGAATTTCATCTTTCATGCAGCTTTGGAAGTTCTTCCCAATATGCTTTGGTTTTTACTATCCTGAATAATTTGGTCTTGCTACTGCACCATTCACCTCTGTTTCCAAATCATGTATTTAAAATTTTTATTTTTTTAAGGGGGCTTTCCAATTTATGAGCATGTTAAATAGCACTGATCCCAGTACAGATGCTTGTGAGTTCCCTATGTTTATTTCCTTCCATTCTGAAAACTGTTTGTTTCTATTTATTTTTTTAAAACCCAGTTATCAGTCCATAAACGGACCTGTCATTCTGGAATTGCCAAGTTTCCCAAGGTACCCAGTCCCAGTGTACAGAGTCTGCTAGATCACCCCTCTACATGTCAAATATATTAAACTAGCTAACATGAAGAAAGAAGGGGAGATTCCCCCCCCCCAGCTGAGAATGGAATGTTAGCCTAAGAGGCATATTTTACAGATTCTCAGTGAAGCATATGCCAAACAGGTGGGAGTCTCAGAATGAATTAAAATTGATTATCCTACTGCACCAATTGTCTCTTGTCTCTAGTTCTATTCTTGGTGCAGCCCGTCTTTTGGCACCTTGTTAAACCTAGAGAACTAGAAGGCATTGAAATACCAGTTGTACTGATAATGCATCTCTATTTACTAGTAACTTCAGGTATTCTTCCCCCCCCCCTTTTTTTTTGGCCCCCAGAAGGGGATTTTTTAAATTGCTTTTCTAATAACTACAAACAGAAAATTAGGAAAGGGAAACTACAATCTAAGGGAGAAAGTAAAGAAAACCCTCTAAAAACCCAAGAGATGGTGATCATACATACATTTGCAAAATTATCTTTAAGCTTAAACGCAAGTTAACTTTAGTTGAAAATGATCATCTATCTGTTTAAATATTTAGATTTTCATCAACAGTTCTAGTTTCATAAAAAGACTGTAAAAAGATATACAATATACTTGTTTTAGATACTCCAGAGTAGATTAACAAATCTGTTTTTTTCCCTTTCTGTGTCTCAATTGATAGCTTTGTTTGGGGGCAGCAGCCCCCAATTTACAGTCAGAGTCTTCTTCGGAAGATCCAGCCTCTCCTTCTTCTTCGCTTTCTTTGGCAGCATCAGTTGTACCTTCTCCTGCTGGGCTGCTATGTTGACGCAAAAACTCGCAAGCCTTTTCAACAGTGTCAATCCTTTCTTTTCTGTTTGCATATCTAAAGATTAATCCCTCGGGTGTTATCCATCTGTAGCAGACATTGTGCTTTTGTAGAAATAAAACCAAGTCTCTGTATTTCCTTCTTTTCCTTCTTATCTCAAATGGAATGTCTTTCAGTACTCTTATGTCTTTGTCTTTTATCTTTAAGGTCGCTCCATTAGATCCTTTCAATAGTTGATCTCTCACTTTTCTTCGGGAGAATCTTATTGTAACTTCCCCTGGCAGATTATTCTTTCTGATAAATTCTGTATACGATCTATGGACCGTATCAATTTTGCTTTGAAGTTGATCTGATGTCATCTCTGCCAAGGGACAATCTGTCTCAGAGTCTCTCCTTTCTCTTCTTGGACACCTTGAAGTCTAAAGACATAGCTTGCCCTTTCCATTTGCAGCTGTAATACTCGAGACTCTTCGATTTAGCATTTTCCTCCCAAAGCCTGTAGTTTTTTGTTCGCTTTTTTGAGTTGGTATCAATCTAAGTTCTTGCTCCATTTTTTTTATTTTCTGTGTATTCGCAGCCATTTGTGCTTGTGTATCGAGTTTATTGTCAATTGCCGTAATTTTCTCCAGTAGGGGGTGGAGTGCTTCAGACAACAACCTTTGAAGTTCCACTGTTGAGTCCTGTCTAGGCACAGAACTCACAGGGCTGGAACTTCCGGGAAGAAGCTTTGTTTTCGCTTGTTTGTCTCTCTGGTCCTTCACAGGTGGCACCATGTTTGAGAGTTGTTTACTTTTATTAAAAGTTTGTCAAAGTCTCTGAAAGTTCTTATATCACGCGGTAAGCTCTTACAGTCTCTTTATTTTAATCCATTTGCTTTTTGTAGTGCCCCCCCCCCCTTTTCTGGCTTAAAATCGCTTGTAAACAGTTCTTAGCGGAGGCGAGTCCCCTCCCCCCCTCGTTTTCTTTCCGGAGGGCTGTGCGTTTTTTCATTGTTCTTGCTTGTACTTAAACTCACATTTTCAACTATTGTTCGCTTGTGTCTGAAATCGGTTGATCACCAAACACTTGCTCCGGTGTGCTGATCTTGTTCCCATACGGGATGCTCCACAGCGGGACCGTCGAGGCTTGGAGTAGCCCCCCTCACCAGCTTGTCTGTTTAGTAACTCGTTGCTAATAGATTTTTTCTGTCATTTCAGACAGACCCGTTTTAGTAACTGGCTGCTAGCAGAATTTATTGTTCATACAAACCTGCTTGTGTTGGGTTAGCAAAGTATGGTTGAGCTGTTTTGGGGGAAAACTGCTTTTTTCCATTTTCAACCCTTTAGTTGCACTTCTGAATTGCTGTGGTGTGCTGTTTAAAATGTCCATAGCACCTCCTACAATGCCACTTTTTCCCCATGCAATCTTCCTTGGACTTTTTTTTACGTTCTAAGGTGAGCACTGTAATGTTCACCTTAGTCCGTTTTGTTACAGTCTGAGGAAGATCACACGGGAAAAAGTGGCACTGTTTGAAATGATCATAGCGCTTCAGAGACGGCGCATTAACAGAAGGAAATTCGCTGTATGGAACCCCCATCCCTGTATCGCTTTACTCAAAATTGGGCCAACAATGAATAACATCTGGTTTAGAATGGTAATGTGAAAAGGGCCACAGTGTTACCTGTCTCTTACATTTTTATCCCATTCTTCTTCTGAGGAGCTCCGTGTAGGATTTAGGATTCTTTTGTTCTCCATTTCCACATAGGTGGTTTGCTCCAAGTTCAGTACATTTGAGAAGCAGTTATTTTCCTGCTTCTCTACAGCATCATGGTGCATTTGTGCAACTCCTGGGGTTCCCCCAGTTTTTTTCCAGTCTTGCTCAAACCTGATTTCCTCCCGGATTTTGGGAAACATAATGAAACCTGAATGGCTGCTGTGTACGTGGGAAAACTTGAATTTTCCCAGCCACATGGCAGCCATTTTCCCTAACTCTTCCCCTGTGGCAGCCAGGAACATTTATTTTGCAAAAAATAGACCCTAGAATATTGTTATATCGATACCAATAACACTATGCCAATATGTGCATCGAGTTCTCTGGATCCCCAGCTTTCATTTTTTTTAAGGTAAGTCTTTAGCCCCTTCTGTTGCAGAAGATAAGTTGAAAGGCATGTCTCTGTCACTAGAGACTTTTTAAAAAATGAAAGCTGGAATTCAGATAACCTGGTACACATAATGGTATAATTATATTCTAGGGTGAATTTTTTTTAAAGTCGCAAAAGCGGGGGGGGGGGGGGGGGGGGGGGGGAGTAATTGCTGCTGGATAACTGGAGCAGTGAAATTGTGGGGAAACCTGTCATGTGAAGCTCTGTCGTTGCTGCACTTTATGAGCAGCCACACCAGCAACAGGGAACCCACACAAGCCTGTTGTCATGCAGAAACCACCAATGTGTTATCACAACAACACTGTCAGGTGTGCTGGGCTGAAAATGGGCTGAGTGGGGAATTGAACCTTTTAGTTCTTTCAGTCTTCCTGCTCCTAGTCTTACAATGCTAATGCATGTGTAAATCTTGACTCAGAAGGATTTCTGCAAAAGATGAAATAGGTTGTACATTTTGCTGCAACTTAGATACAAATAAAGGTAAAGGTTCCCTTGCTCGAAAGCCAGTCGAATCTGACTCTAGGGTCGCGGTGCTCATCTCCGTTTCAAAGCCGAAGAGCCAGCACTGTCCGAAGACGTTTCCGTGGTCATGTGGCTGGCATGACTAAACACCAAGGCGCACGGAACGCTGTTACCATCCCACCGAAGTGGTACCTATTTATCTACTTGCAATTTCTTGCTTTCAAACTGCTAGGTTGGCAGGAGTGGATACAAATACAGACCAATTAAAATGTAACCTTAAAGAGGGAATTGTGGTATAATGGGCATGGTTAAAAGGCAGTACCATGCCATTTGCTGTTGAGGTGCAATTCCTGATTCTAGTTTTGCCTTATAAGCTTTAAAAATCTTAGCCCTGTCACATTATCACAGCCAATTGTTCTGGTTTATTTACAGCTTTCTCACATTCCTAGCCAAAGTCCCTTCAACTGCACTTGGACACTTGAGTTTATCCCAAGGGATTCTGGACCAGATTCCCCATTAGGCCTTTTACTTTAGAGGATACTATCCATTTACAGAAGAAGTTGAATATTTATTCAGATGTTGCAGACTGTGCCTGGTTATGTGCACGTAATTCTGTTTACCACCCAGGCCTTTAGAGATCTAATTGTTCTATAACCCCAAAGGTAAAATGTACTCTTGCTGAGCAAGTTAGTGTGACTTAAGTGGCCCTCTAAAGATTGTGCCCTCTTACTAATAATGAGGATTATTAACATTGCATAAATTCCACTTTTTACAAGCTTGTTTCAGATACAATATCCACACCATAGTCTGGCATTGCCTGAATCAGCCTGAAGGAATCTTTAGCTCACCCACGTGGACCCCCCCTTTCTGCTCATGCATGGTGATACAATTGGTTGCTTCTCGGTGTTCCTGACGAGCAAATTGTTTGTGCTTGCCCTGCAAACCATTATTACAAACTGGGAAGAAACCATGGTTGGTAATATAAGCACAAGCCACTGTTTTCCAGTTTAGCTGTCACAGTAAGCTATGGCTTGCAGAAAACCAGTAAATATCTTACTAACTTGCCGTGCACAACTGGAGGAAGGCTTATGTGAGTGAACCCAAACATTCTTTCAGTCATGTTCATGTAGCATCAAACCACAATTTGGCATTACACCTGAACCAAGCCACTGGCTTCCTATTCTTAGATTATGATGTGGCTTGGATTTTTCTAACGGAGAGTGAGGTTTCAATTTTTTTAAAAAAGCATTGAAAATAAACTTGGGTTCCTTTCTGCATTCTTGACCTTACTGTTGCTTTATTATTAACTTGCCAGCTATTTGCAAAAGAAGACCTAGCATTTTTTGCCCTGTCTTCTCTGTCCCTTCCTTGTATTCCCCGTGACTAACAGATTCTCAGTGATGCTTTACTGAATGCTTGCTAAGGGTATTGACTGTTGGAAAATGATTTGTGTAAAGTGTTGACTATTGATGGTAAGCCCTAATGCAGTGCTAATACTAAGCCGGGCTGCTGTTGAAGTTAAAAGAGTGTTTGAGTTGTATTTCTGTAGAATATGATAGCAGTTATTTTGGGAGAGACAGCATTGTGGATTCCCTCTGTCCTGAGTATGTATCACAGGCTGATAAATGCTGTCCATTGAGTTATTAACATTTTTCTGTGGCTGAACATTCACTTTGAGATCCTGTTCATGCCAAATTTCATAGTGTACACAAGCTAGCAAGATGCCTTTATAGAATGGAATTTATACAGAATTCTCAACTACTTATGACTTCTTGCTTACGTTGCCCAGTCTGCTCAGACTACCTCCCATTCTAGGTTCAAGAAAATGCATTTGGATTGCTATCTAAGCTTGCGTCTTGTATGAGCTCCCTACTTCTCTCTTGCATTTTCCTCGAGGATCCAGTCTTGCACTTTCCACAGCCCCTGTTCAGCCCTGTCCAGCCAACAAAGGCTAAAATAATTTTCCCTGTAGCAGGTGGGGTGGTGGGCAGGGTGGGTAGGCAGAAAGACTGATGGATGAGCAGGGCGAGGATTAAGTACATCATTTTATTTTCTGTGTGCCTTCTACCCATTTCTAGTTAAGTACCCGGCAACCATAAGCCTTTGCTTAGTGCACATTACAGAGCTGCTGTGCTGACCTGTAAATTGTCTTTTCTGCAGTAAAATGACAGCCAGTCTTACCATGTTCAATATTGATGCGCCTCGCTGGGACCAGAATACCTTCATGGGGCGCCTGAAGCACTTTTTCAACATCACAGACCCAAGGACACTGATGGTGTCAGAGCAAGAACTGGACAGAGCAAAGGCATTGGTGGAGAGCTGCAGGTAGCTAGCAGTAACATAAACATTTGGGGTTATGTGCTCTTGGACTGTAGGCTTGAGTCAGATTCATTAACAAAATCTGTGTACAGGAAAAGTCTTTTGTTCCTGGTGTGTGTTGTGATACCTGCGACATCCTGCTCTGGAGAAAAGGGAAATCTTTACACAGTTTCTCTATCTTGCTCTAGTTTTTTAAAAAGATATTGGGTGTCATGGAATCTTAGATCAGGGAACATTAAAATGCAAAGGAGGAATGCAGAATAAGGCAGGGATTCTCAGTGGCCTGTAAAGGATTTGGGTACCGTTAAGGTTTTTTGGTCTGCAGATGTGTTTGCTCCTAGAGGCAGTGACTTCCAGTTCTCCAGTGTGTAACTTCTTCCGCTGCTTATTTCCCACTTGTAGGGCAGGCACGGTGCCCCCAGGAACCAGCCAGGAGCAGCTGTTCTACGCCAAGAAGCTTTATGACTCTGCTTTCCACCCTGACTCTGGGGAGAAGATGAATTTGATAGGGAGGATGTCATTTCAAGTTCCTGGAGGGATGGCTATCACTGGCTTCATGCTACAGTTTTACAGGTGTGAACAGCAGGTGGCTTTGTTGGGCTTATGACTATCTCCCCCCCCCCTTCTCCCATAGCTATCTCAGAGAGACCGCTTTGCCAGCCTGACAGCCAGGGTTCTGTGAAAGGTTCAAGTTTATTCCTCTTAAGGTGTTTCCTTTATCTGAACCTAATGTTTACGTTCTTCGTCATTTCTCCTGCAGTATGGTGTTTTTGGCTTTGTGCTGTTTGTTCCTCCTCTGGGGTTTCTTGCAGTAGTGCTTAATGGCCACTGAAAACCTATGTGTTGCTTTTTCTGCATTAACAGTAAAACCTTCTTCAGGCAGTTAATCTTTAATACTGTTTGCAGCTGTTACCTTAAAAAACAAACCAACCACAACCATTAGTACTGACACTGGTGACTATCAAGGGATACTTCTGGGAGAACCTGAAAATAGTTATCTGTATACTTATTTTGCCCCCTCTCCAGAAGCAAAATCATCCTGGTTACTTAGAGACGAAGACAGACAAACTACTCTGCGTGCGGCAACATTTCTAGAAGCTGTTGTCAAATCACATGACAAGTTTTGCAGTAGCAACCTTTAAATTCTTCCATGTTTTCCTGCAGAATGAGGTTTATTGTGGGATGAGGGTTTGCTGTTTATTACTCCAGTTGCAAAAACAGTAAAGACAATAAATAAAATAAATACTTATTTTGCTTTACAAAAAAGAAGTCAACCCCAAGGTAACTTGCGTTCTGCAACCTGTGTAAATTATGCAAATTAACTTAAATATCACTTTGCTATTCTGCAAGGAAAGGTAGAAGTTATTGAGGCAAAGCATTCTCACCACTCTACTTTTTCTCTTCCCTTTCCTCCCCCCCCCCCCTCAGAGTAGGGTTGCCAAATGGGGCCGGGGGGCGGGGAATCCCCTGCTTTGGAGGCCCAATTTCCGCCGCGGTGGAATTGGGCCCCGGGGGGAACCCTGCCCCTGAAGCTGCGTCACCAGAGGTGACGCAGCCACATTGCTGACGTTGGGGGCGTGGCTGAGCTCGTCGGGGGGGGGGGAACCATATGGCCCCCCAACGAGCTCGGCCACGCCTCCAATGTCAGCAACGTTACTCTTGCAGTCTTGTAGCTAAAAGAAGATGGTTCTCCATATTGTTAAGAGTACCACTTGGTAAATGTGTGAACAATTGCCATGCAGTTAATCACGCTCTTGATTATATCTTTAGGGACTTTGCATTGACATACAAGGTAAGGTCTGTGCTCAAAGTTCCTTCACAATGTAGCATTTGGCTGAGTTCTTAGTTGTATCACTTTTGGTCAATGTCTTGGCCTAATGTTTGCCAAGGAAAAGGGCTGCTGGTGTTGTCTGCCTAGCTCCAAGTCTAATTGTTTTGTTATTAACCAATTTTGCTATTCTTTAAAATGATTTATATTTGGAGATGGCTCTTAATACCAATAGCTCTAAAACCTGTAATCCTTCTATTTAAAAAAGTACACTGCAGTATTTTCTCAGAGTAGTTTCTATTAAGTTAGTACATGCTGATGTAGTATGTCAGTTACCTGTGTTTCAATTAGAGACAGGCTACCTGCCATGATAGCTACTTTGCTGTAGAGTAGGGGGTCTCCAGCATGTAACTCATGAGGTAGGGCTAACTTGCCAGTTGCTGCAGAATAGCCTTGTGCATCCCGTAGAAGACCCAGGAAAAGATCACACAAATATCTACCCTAGGCTTTTTTCAAAAAGCATTTATTTCATAGGATTTTTCTCTGTGCCGCTTACCCTGATAGCTTCGTTTCTGGTGCTGCTCCTAGTCCATGTTCTGTTTCTAGGACAGAGCACAACTTGGTAATGTGTGTGTGTATATAGGAAGTAGCTCAAGGTATTTTCCATTATTGAGAAGTAGCTCTTATTTAAAAAATTGGTTGGTGACCCTGGCTCTGGAGTTTGGGCAATGTAAGTAAATTGTATTGGCCCAGCATCTGTCTAGATCAGGCCTGAATGTTTCTGTCCAAACATAGAAGACTGCATCCTGGAAGACTCTGTTATTCTTCCAAGTGGCCAGGTTCCTAAGAGAGGCAGAGATGGGTGTCTAGGCAGTTTGAATTTAGCATCCAGAAGTTCATTTAGTATTGTCAAGATAGGCAGACGATGCTGAATGTTCGATTAAACAATCTGTACCTATTGTTCAAATGAACAATGCATGATGAGTTCATAAAAACAGATACAGCCTTTTTTCTTACCGGACAGAATGCGGCGGGTGAAGAGAATATCTAGATAAATTAAACAATCTCTGTCTATTGTTCAAATGAACAGTGCATGATGAGTTCATAGAAACAGATACAGCCTTTTTTTCTTACCAGAGAGAATGTGGCAGGTGAAGAGAAAATCTAGATAAATTAACTGATTTATTCAAGATAAAGATTGATAGTTGATTATGGCATGTGATTGGTTGTTAATATGGATTTAGTATAATGGAAGTCTGCAATATGAATTTAGTGTAAAGGGAGTCATTTAAGAGAAGACCTGATTTCTAGGTACCATTTTTAAACCTTTCTTTATCTCTAGGACGGTCCCAGCCGTTGTTTTCTGGCAGTGGGTAAATCAGTCCTTCAATGCCATTGTGAACTACACCAACCGGAATGCTGCCAGTCCTATCTCTGTCAAGTGAGTACATGAGCAAAGTTATCTGATGGCAGGCTCTTTCTGCTTATGTTTCCCCATGTGTTGCTTACTGGGCCTGGCTTTAGCTGGAATGTGTTCTATGACTTTGAGGGGGGGAGGAAACCAACTTGGAAATTCCTCTGGCAGATTAGATAATACAAGCAGGAGTCTTGCAAAGACTTGTGGGGGACCCCTCATTTCCCCTCCTCCACTATTTCTTCTTTACCTTCCCTGAAGGCCCCCATAGTCTCTTCCCTTTTACCTACTTTCTTTTCTCCTTCCCACCCACCAACCACCCTACTTTTATCTGCCCCCCCCCATCTTCAACTGTATTATTGTTTGTTTACTTTATGTATATCCTGCCTTTCTCCATGGTTCCAGTTTCTGGATTTAAGTATCCACAGATTTGGCCACATTGAGACTTAGGAATATTGATGGGGAAATCGCATGCATCCATATGATGTTCTATATGGTTGTGTAGCTTTTCTTAGGATGTTTTCTGTAAGTAGAGCATATCAGGAACTTCAGAGAGAGAATGCAGATAGATGCAGTACCAGATGACTTACTGCTGAATGAACATGGCTGCCTTGCCCACGATTAAGTCACTAGAGATATATGAGGTAATTTGAGTTGCAGATGATGAGAATTCCTCATAGGTGTTTGGAAAAATTGCACCACTTCTACAGAAGAAGGTTCACTAGTGAAGAGGGTTCATTTCAAATATGCTACTTCCAAGAGTTAAAATTAGAAATAGGGAGGCATGCAAGCCTAGTAGGAAGTATTTCCTATATAATCCTATAAGTAACAATTCTTACAGGGCACCTGTATCAGTTTTCCACGGTTCATTCAGTCTTGTGGCTTTTACTTCAGAGCCTCAAAGTGGTAGGATGGGTTCTGCCACTCATCTGAAATGCGAATGTAGCTACTCAACTACTCAACTAAACTGTATTTTATACATGTTTCCACTTGCTTGGATCATAGAGGAGGCACTAGAAAGGTTGCTTTTTTCTCTGCATGTAGCTGTCTAACGACACCATTGTAAGGAAGAGACCGGCTTGTGTGCAAAACAGCAACTTTGAAGAACTAAATGAGGGCTAGAGGGGGAGGATCAACCTTTGAAGTCATTGCAGGAGCCACCCGGTTCTTATTTTGCCAAGAGCTGCACAGCTGAGATATCTTAATTAACAGCTGGACTGAATAGAGGGAGGAATGGCATGTTGACAGGTTCCCTTAAGGATAAAAGCCGGGGGGGGGGGGGGGGGGGGTATCGCTTTTTTTGGGGCAGGATTTTTTCCTACCTTTTGGAGTTTGAGTAAGTTTCAGCTGATTTTATTGACTGTATTTTGGCAACCATCGAAGGATGCTGACTTTTTCTTTTGTCTAGCTAACTACTGTTAATCGAGGTTGCCTTGACTTTTCTTTGATAATAAAAGTATTTTTGCCTGATTCACTGAACTTGAATGTAGAGCCTGAAGCTGAGTATCTTGGCAGAGAACCCAAAGCCTGGGTCAAAGAACCATATCTAGGGATTTCAGGCAGGGTCTTCTGACACTCAGGATAGGGTGTGTTTTTTAAGAGAAATCTTACAGCCTATAGTAATAAGCAAGTGGATCGATGGATTTGCTAGAAAAATTGTAGACCCTTTGAGGCACGTCATCTGAACTGTCATTGCTTATTGATGGACTGCTGAATTACTATCTGTTAATAAGGATTCACCCCCTCTGAATGATTCCAGGCAAATTGGAGTTGCTTATGTCACTGCTACCAGCACTGCCTTGGCAACCGCCGTGGGGCTCAACCTTTACACCAAGGTACTGTCATAAAATGTGTTGTTTATCCACAAGGGGGCAGCAGGACCGAGGACAAAGCAGGTGATTGGGCATCTCTTTCTCCTTTAGATTTTAGAAGGGTGAATGTCTGCTTCATACGACAAGCCAGTCCTGGGACCTGGAGAAGAAGAAAGGGCACTTGAAATATCCTCAGTTCTTTTATGGCTTCAGCTGTTGCACAGCATTAAGCAATTAAAGAGACCCTTCACATTCCCACAGAGTGATAAATTTTCTTTTGGAACGTGGGGAAGAGAAATCTTGTACTTTGAAATATCAGTTCAGACCACACAAGATCATAGGAATACCAGGCAGCAGAATAACTTAGTATAAGGGGAAATCATCCAAAAACAACCGTAAGATAATGGTGGATTACACCTGTAGCTGCCACAGCACTTACCTACTTTCCTGGTGCCCGCCAAGTATTAGAAAGTGCATCTTCCCCCCCCCCACCCCCCATATAAATGTTTTTTTGGGTTTTTTATAAGAAAGTGCGGCTTTTGTCTGGCATGGCTTCTGGTTAGCTGTGCAGATTTTTTTTAAATGTGGCTTTGGCAGCAGCTGCTACTACAGCACAAGGATATTCATAATGTGCCTGAAGGTAAGCAAGAAAATATTTTAAAACAATATGCCCAGTATGTCCACTTAAAAAGGCATCCTGTTAAGCAGAGCTTCTGCCTGTAATGTTCAAGAGTTACTGCTGGAGTTCTGCATATCCTCACTCCCTGACGCTTTGTGGTTGGCTCCACCTCCTTCAGCAGCCATTTTATGATTGCACCCACCACTCTGTGTCAGAATTCTGAAGGTGCCTGTGGGCTCAGAAAGGCTGGAAATCTCTGGATTATGCCTCGGAAAAAATTCTAGTGAACATAAAAAAAAATTCCTTGCTAATTTTGTGATGTTTTACTTACTTCTAGTAGAGGTCCTGCCCTACTGTTGCTTTAGAATTTTTTCCCCTAATGGATAATATGATCACTGGAGATATCTAACCATTTATCAGTGTCATGGCTTCCTGGCTGCAGCCCATAATCCCCCTGAAATTTTGTTCCTGTAGGGAAGTCAGTCAACTCTCTGGAACAGCACAGAGGGGCAAAGTGGGAGCCTACAGTGGGGAAAGTACTTGGCAGAAATCATTGCTGCTCTTCCAGAAACCTGGAAGGGGCTGCACAGTTGGATAATGGTCCTCCCTAGGCCTTCTTCATTCTAAAAACCTGCAGACCTTTTCTGAGTCTACTCATAACTTTGTTATCTTTTTCTGTACAGAGAGCCCCAACCCTTGTGGCGCGTTGGGTCCCCTTTGCAGCGGTGGCGGCTGCCAACTGCGTGAATATCCCTTTGATGAGGCAGCAGTAAGTCTCCTGGCTTTAGACCTGAGGGGCCTTTAAGGAGGGAGGGTTAAAATGTATGATAATGAGTTGCTTCACCTGTCATTCCATTCAGTGGAGGGAGTCAGTCTCAGCTAGCGAAGTTATGTGTCTGGGGACCAGTCCTCTTGTGTTCTTCTCCAGTATCTAGTCCACTGGTTCCCAAAGTGGGCAATACCGCCCCCTCGGGGGTGCTGGAATGATTCAGGTGGGCTGGAACGATCCAGGTGCAGATCCACAAACTGCATCTTTTTGTCCAGTTCTTGAAGGTAGATTTCCAGGGGGGGCACTGAGTCATTTTTTTTCTGAAAAGGGGGCGGTAGGCCAAATAAGTTTGGGAACCTCTGATAGTGGCTGGCTTGCTTAGTCTCACCCAGAGACTTCCCAGAGTTGCTGCTGATGTCAGAACACCAGTAGGATAAAAGCACGCCAGTCTGTTAGTCTCAGGAGGAAACAGTGCACAGGACACCTACTTGTCATGGCTAGTACTGTACTTCCTGGTTTGTTTGTTCATGTGTTTAGTTCAGATACAAGTCTGTGACCATTAAAGAGTGACAAGATTTTGTAGGAATGGTCTGGACAGAAGCCGTCCACTGCCCCTCTTACACTATCACCCACATGTTTCCCTGCACACACTCTTAAAAGTACCAGTATGTATAGTCATTGTCAGTCACCTCTTAGCTGAATCTAAGTGTCAGTGCAATGCTGACCTGCCACTGCTTTGGTTCTGCTGTTGACCTATCCCAGAGACTCTCATTCGCTTTCCTCCTGAGCAGCCTTGCCTGCTCACTCCTTCTTGTCAACAACACACAGCCAGCTCTGTCTTCTAGGGTCTCTGAGTGGTTACACTCCACACTTACACACCCCATTTTCTTTTGGGTTCCTCTTCCACTCAGCCATTCTCTTCCTGCTTCTCGGGCCATTACTTCCTCTGCCACCCTTTCTTTGTCCTTTTTGCTCTGCTGGTACCTAGACCTGCATATCAACCTACCTATTTCTGCCCTCTCTGCTTATCCCCCCCCCGCCCATCTATCCCTTGGCTTCATCTCCTCTTTCCCAAATGACCTTTGGCTATTCTTATGGGAGCTGTATTGTTAACATTCTACTGCTGTTATCTTGTATAGTTGTACAGTTACAAGGTTCATAAATTTTTTCCATGACCTCCCAGTACCTACAGCCAGTGACTAAACACTTGCAGGCAGCCAGCAACAGCCAGATTTCATACTGTTCCATAATCTGTAAGAAAATGGCTCGATCAGTAGGGTAACAAGGACATCAGTTATTTTGTGACCAAAGTAGGATTAAGTTCTGCTAGGGTGAATTCTCATTACCCTTTTTATTACAGATGATGATGATGATGATGCAATGATGACAGCCTAGTCATATAAAAGTGTAACTCAAATGGCAATGTTTTCCTTGATTGCCTTTTTATTATGCACAAGCAAGAACTGTTAACAGGAGTGAGGTTCATTTGTGATGAACTTAATTTCCACATGCATGGGTTATCTGCAGTCACATTTAAATGAGAGGGTTAGAAAGGTTACTGGGCAAATGAGGACCCTCAACAAAACAAAACATAATAGAAGAATTTTAGCATGAAGAGAAACTCCACCCGACTACTTCCAGCACAATCCCTATTGGTAATTTCTTTATAGTCTTGCAAATCATGGATTGGGGTGTGGAAACGCCAGGACTTGCTGGGTGGTCTCTTATTTTGTGTGCCCCCCATCAACAGCAGCACTGTATGGAGATTATCCAGTAGTCTTGCAGATGTCCACATCAGGGATTAAACACTCCAGAGCCCAATCTTCATGAGGTTGTATTGCTCTTTCCTAAAGAACTGTTGTTGGCTGGATAGAGATAAAAAGCTTGATACTCCTTACTTTTCGTCACTGTTACCCCATATGGTTTCCCACCACCACCTAATGACAACAGCACCACACAGCTGCCCTTTTATAACTTTGCAAAGGGCTGGTTTGTTCCTTTGGAATGTGAAAGCTGAGATCCAGACCGCCGTTAGACTATATTTCCCTGCAGCCTTGTTCGGTGGGATGGCAGGGATGTTGTGTGCTAGAAAGTTTGTTCCTCTTTTCTCATCCTCCCCCACATGGTGCTGTGGGCCCTGATGCTTCATAGACTTACAAAGGAATGTATCAGGGCTTGGAGTTCTAATCTAGCCCTTTGTAAAACAATGGTGAAAAATCATATTTTTCTGTATGGTGTATGGAGGGCAATGTTCCCTCTAAGCTGTGGAGTCTTGTGAGCAAAAATTCTACTTTGTGAGCTACAGGCATTAAAGTTGTGAGTGAGCGATTTGACTACTGCCTAGATTATTTTGCTCTGGAGCCATCCTTCCTAAGCTAAGACAAAAATGTGTGAGCTGGAGGCTAAAAACTGTGAGCTAGCTCACGCTAACTCAGCTTAGAAGGAACACTGGTGGAGGTCCCCCTGATACGTAGAAAACTTCTTTGTGGGTGGTCCTGTTGCCCTGCTTTCATTGTGGGCAAGCAGCCTAGGCATTCTACTATTAGAATTATTAGATACACCAAAATACCAAAGGATCCAAAAGAAACTGGTGTTGCAGCCTCCCTTCCAGAATACTTGCCTTTTTAGGATACTCTTCAAGGGTAGCCCCATATACAGCACATTGCAGCACTGAGCGTGGAGATTACAAGTGCACACAGTTGAGCATTTCTATATATAAATATCTTTTCAGATATGGCTTTTTACAAAATGGCTACCATTTCACAAAATGACTGCCATTTCCTGCACAGAGAAATTCTCTCTTCCCAACTTCCCTGGACGACTCCCCTTTTGGCCAGAGCAGCTGACCTCAGAGCAGCTTCCTTCCTGCTCTAGTACACCAGCCAAACACTCTAGCCTTGCCAATCCCCAGTCCCCTTGCCTCTCCTGAAATAAAGTGGCCAGTGCCAAGGTGATTGTACAGCTGTTGCTAGAGGATGAACACATGAAGCTGTTTCAGTCTATCAAGGCCAGTGTTGTTTACTCTCCAGGGCCTCAGTGGTCTTTCACATTAAGTACCTGCCTGATCCTTTATTTTTTTAAAAAACGGAAAGAGTCAAGACTGAACCTGGCCCCATCTACATGCAAAGAAAGATGCTTTACCACTGTGCTGCAGCCTGACCCCTACTTCTAAAAACAACCCAGAGGCAAAGCAGGTTTGTATGGCACGTGTACAGACAGAAGTAATATTATGGCCCTCTAAAAGCTCCACTGACTGTCACCAAACAAAGTTTTTGCTGGCTAAGATTCTAGTTGCTGTCTAAATATGCCAGCTGCCTGGGCTCGCTGTACTAAAGTGGGCATTCTGTAAATGCACACCACTTGCCTTGCCTTTCTGCTCAGGCCCGTTTTGCATAGTTGATTCCACTGCTTATATAAAAACCTTGTTCGTTCTGCCGCAATGAGTAGTCAGTGAAGGTGTTCACACCCCCACTCCATAAACAGATGGCACTTGGCACTGGTGCTGAAATTACTCCCTTGGGAAGGGGGAGCGTTGTTCACAAAGTACAGCCTGCCACGCACAAAAGAAGTTGCGGGTACTGAAACCTGTAACGAGCAGGACCTAGAGTCAGCAAATTCTTAGGCTGATCTGCCATGCGGTACCATTCTGCTGCACTCATCCTGCTGTTTCTTCTTTTATCTTTTAATCGGCTGGGGGAAAGGGGAAGATAACAGTCGTTCCTTTCATTTTATCAGATTGCTTTGAATGGTGCAGGAGGTAGTTCCACTTGGAAAATGCTGGTTTCTAGAAACCATGATTTGAGCTTGGTTTTATTTATAACCTGTGGCATTGTTTGTGGGGGGAAATAGATTTTATCTTTGAGGGTTTAAGAAGGGAGCACGCCTGCTTTCAATCAGTGTCCCTCTGACGCATCACTTTCCTCTTAGCCTCCCTGCTAGCTGGCTATTAGATGTTGCTTTTGACTTACAATAATCAGTTCTGCTTTTAGACCAGCAAGTATCCCAGGGATATCCCATCATACAAACACCTGCTATTTAAGAAGTAGCCAAGGAACATTACACACATTAGCACAGATGGGAGGGGAGTTAAGTTTGACAGTAACGGCCCTTTCCTTCTCTTCCCCTTATACCAAAGTCTCTGCTCAGCACAAGCCACTAGGGGGCAGCAGTGTATTGTCAAGTTGGCTTCACATGCTCCCTCAGCTTCTCAGCAATGTAATGTTTGCTAGTGGAGCATTGTGTTCTGTAGGGGATTCCCTACCTTGAAATGGCCCATTGCCAAGTGATTCTGTGGGGTTTTGTGACCACTTTAATCATTATATAAAGAGCCTTTTTAGCTCCTGTTCAAAACCTCAGCAGGGCTTGCAAACAAAAATATAACAAGTGCATCAATAAAGAATATGAGTACTATAATTTCTTATAAGAGCAGCAACAAAAAAGTCAGAATGAGCAAGAAGAATATTAAAAGGTTCAAGGTTATGGTCGTGGCCTTTTAAAGCCCTACGCAGCCAGGGACCAACATCCCTATGGGACCGATTTTCCCCGTATGTGCCCTGAAGAGCTCTGCGCTTAGTTGAGCACCACCTTCTGGTAGTCTCCAACCCAAAAGATGCCTTGACAAGGGCCAGGGCCTTTTCTGGCCTGGCTCTGGCCTGGTGGAACGTGCTCCCCCTGGAGACCAGGGCCCTGTGGGCCTTATTACAGTTCCGCAGGGCCTGTAAAATGGAGCTCTTCTGCTAGGCCTTTGGCTGAGGCGGCAGATGTCTAATTCATCTCGGCCTCCCCCCCCCCCCCCCCGCTTGCACTGCCCACTTTGATCATACTGTTGCAGTGCTATAGTGCCCACTTTGCTCGGCCCAGCTAAGAGACCAGCAAGCATCACCTGGTTGCTACATATGACCACCTTAACTAACTTCCATCAAGAGGCACCTGAACTCCCAGAATTAGGCTCCCATCTTTAGGTTTTATTAGAATTTTACTGTTATTTGGTAACTATTGTGCTTTAATGTTTTAATCCGTGTATGGGGAGGGCGGGATAAAAATCAAATAAATAAAATGGCATCTGTAAGCAAGGGTTTCACGCTACCACCATTTGTAATGCTGAAGTAGATGGGTGTCGTGTCAGTCTGACCCTAAGCCTGAATAGGGACAAAGTCAGCCTTCAGTGTCTTGTTCACACATGCACTTTGCCCTTCCCTTCTTCCCCCATCCCCTTTCACAGGTAGAGTGTTGAAGGAATCCTGGCTTACTGTGGCATACATATACTAGCACCCACGTGAAGTTAGTTATGCTCACACAAGCTGGGCTTAGAGGATGACTTCTTCACGTGAAAAGAGGCCAGGGGATAAGTGAGCCATGTGCATGATGTGGGCATGGCCCTAGTGGACTTTTGCACATGCAGAGTTCACATCAGCTTCACATAGCATCTGAAAATGAATTTAACATGGGAGGTTATGGTTCATTCACTGGTTGAAAAGAGGGCCTTGAATTAGTAAAACCATGCCATGCGATTGGGAGAAGAGTGGTGGAGGTATTATTCTAGCAACAATGCCATACCTCGGCCTAACATCATCCCCACCCCCTAATATGTTTTGTAATTTCAGGTCACATATAGAACAGAGAACCACAGGGAAGTCAACACACATGAAGCAGATAAACATATTAGATAAGCATATGGAGCAGAGGTCCATCAGTGGCTATTAGCCACAAGGTATAGATAGGAACTCTCAGTCTGGAGCAAGTGATGCACTGTTTTCTTGGTGCTTGTGGGGGGGACGACGACAGTGAGAGGGCTTCTAGTGTCCTGGCCCCACTGGTGGACCTCCTGATGGCACCTGGTATTTTTGGCCACTGTGTGACATAGTGTTTGACTTTATGGGCCATTGGTCTGATCCAACATTGGCTTCTCTTGTGTTCTTATGTTAAGCTCATAGGTACATACATCTATGTGTAGAGCATGAGTGGTTGTTTCCTACTGTAGAGAGAAGAGGCTATTGACCTACATGGTCTTTGACTAGCTTTCTCTGTTTGGGACTCTATACTTAAGTGACTTTCCCCTGGAAAATGTGGGACTGGAGGTTGAATGTCCTGGCTCTGGATAGGGTTCTCCTCATGCATGGTGTAGAGAGAAGAAGGTCCACTGACTGAGCCATTGAGAGTGATGGGCTGAGGAAAGGAGGGCTCAGCAGATCACTTGTAATATGTCTTTGTCTGTGTCAGGGAACTCATTAATGGAATCACAGTGACTGATGAGAACGACAATCGTCTGGGCGAGTCCAGGGTAAGTGCCATCGTCTCAGGTGGGTAGTGTAATTGTTGCTCTATTCTGGTGAGAAAATCTTTTAAGAGTATTTGGAACTTGTTTTGCCAGTAGTGCTGGTAGCCAAAGGAATCCAGAAACTTTGATCCGCTCTAACGCACTGTAGTTTAGCAGGTGGTGCCTTGTTAACAGCTACTGCTGTGCCTTAGAGACTGATTTTGTTGTTGCCTTCAAAAGCTTAATTCTTCATTAGATGTACAAAATGAGTCGATATATATTGCAGCTTCTGTATAGCTCTTACAGTCTATGGGTTTGTAATGAGGAAGGGATTGGCCACTTTTAAAATAAGGGATTTCTGTCAGCCTTGAAGTACCGGGACCATTTTCCACATGGAGAGGGGTGGATGGGTATGCACACAGTTCCATTGTGATCAGGAAGCTACTCAAGCCAGTTTTGAGCATTCTTGTTTTTAATATGCCTTTCATCCCTGATACTTGGGCTGCTTTCGCATTGCAATAATTCTCCAGGTAACCCTTGTGGCTGCTCTGAATGTAGAGGCTTTTTAGAGGTCCGCTGCAAGCCCTTGCGGGTTCCTCATGTATGTGTGGGTATGCACCTGCAGAGAATTTCCCCTTCTCAGTAGCAGTTTGTGCTCTCTAACAGCACTGCGTTTTCTTCTCTTGGCTGTGTCCTGCCTCAGTGTTTTCTATCTCTAACCCACCCACCCCTTTGCTGGTGCACATTATTTTCTGCAAGTGTGTGCTACTTATTCCATTTTTAAATAAACATTTGTGTATTCATTTGGTGCCATTCAGTTGTTGGCTCCTGCCAACAAGAAAGACTGCAGTGTTTGTTTTTAATTAACACAGCGTTAAATGCAGTGTTTCGTTTCCCCCAAAGTGGGGGAATTATTTTACTGCTTTGGCGTTGTTGGGTTTGGGGTGGGGCTTCCACCAAGGATGGTTCCAACAAGATGTTTCCCTGTTTCTGCACGGTAGGCCTGTTTGTCTGAGATCCTAGGAGTGCTCACTGATTGGTAAAAGGTTTTTTTCCTAAATCCAGCCTTTCACTGTAAGTAGCCATCTTGTGTCTTCTCATTTGGAGAGCCAGCGTGAGCCTGCTGTTCCTTTCTTCCTTCTCAGAGAGCTGCAATCAAGGGGATAACCCAGGTGGTGATTTCCCGCGTCACTATGGCTGCTCCTGGAATGAGTAAGCATCCAACGTTTCTCCCTGATTCAACTGCTGGCTGGTAAGCTGTGCTGGGGTGGGGGCCCCCCTCTGGCTTGGGAAGAAAGCCTCCTTGGAAGTGATGACGAGAAGGGGAGAAGCGAGTGGCGGCTTGTAGCTGGCTGTTCCTGTACCTCTGCGTGGTCCTTCCCTGTTCCAAGGAAAGATCCTCTACTGGGTAATGTACAGGATACGGAACTGCCTCTGCTGTTATCACAAAGCAAAACGCAGTGTCTCCTCCCACCCCGAGGAAACTGATCCATTATGCTGAGAGACGATTAACAGAGAGCAGGTGGTGGTGGGGGCGTGCAAAGAAGGCAAGTGACATCTGGAAGAGCCACGCCTTTATTGGGACTTGCCAGCATGGCTAGTCATTCGGGACATGTCCTTCAGTTTATGATCACTGTGTGGTTGTTTATGAGGTGCTGTAGTGCAAACTCAAGGGTAGTCCGAGTTGTTACCGCACTCATAAGTTAAGAACATAAGAACATAAGAGATGCCAATGTTGGATCAGGCCAAAGGCCCATCCAGTCCAACACTCTGTGTCACACAGTGGCCAGAAATACCAGGTGCCATCAGGAGGTCCACCAGTGGGGCCAGGACATTAGAAGCCCTCCCACTGTTGACCCCCCCCCCCCCAAGCACCAAGAAGACAGAGCATCACTTGCCCCAGAGCCCCTATCTATACCTTGTGGCTAATAGCCACTGATGGACCTCTGCTCCAAATGCCTATCTAATTCCCTTTTGAAGCCATCCATGCTTGTAGCCTCCCCGGTCCCAGGGAGGCTTGTAGTTCTTTCATGCTTCTTGGCAAGCTGGTGTTGTCCAGCTTTTTTTCCTGTATATTGCAAGCCTGCTGCCCTCATTTTCTCTGAGCCTAGGTGGAGAAGGCACTCCTAAGGAGAGAAGGCCTCTACTTAATGGATCCTAAGAAGCCGTGTTTGTGTGTGTGTTGGTGGACTGGGATTTGGTCCTCCTGCTGCATGTTGCATGGCTAGCATCAGAGGGCATGATATGGGGAACACAGGACTCTAACGCACTGAGTTGGCTACTAATGCTGTCTCCCTCTATCCCTCCCTCTCTCCAGTTTTGTTACCCATCATCATGGAAAAACTAGAAAAGTACCCTTTCATGAAGGTAAGTAGCTCCTGAAATGCCTGCCTTTCCTTCCTGAAATGCCTGCCTTTCCTTCCTGGTTGTTTTTGTTCCTCCTGAGAGATTCATATGGATTATTTTTCAGCTTTCTTCATAGGAAGACCTCTGCATGGCTGAAAACATGGAGTGTGGGGCTATTTCCATATGGGGGTGGGAAAAGGTGTTCCTACTGTGGAAGCAGCAGTGGGCAGGGTGGGAGGTATATGGGGACTGCAAACCTTGTGATAAAACTCAGGGAACAACTGCATGGCTATGGAAAGAGAAGCATAAATGTAGTTGCAAGTAGTACAAAGTTGCCCTGACCTGGATAGCCCAGATCTCATGAGCTAAGCAGGGTCAGCCCTGGCTAGTATTTGGATGGGAGACCTCCAAAGAAGACTGGGGTCATGATGCAGAGGCAGGCAATGGCAAACCACCTTTTTGTGTGAGTATTTTGTATTTGTGTATGCAGGGGTCATTTCGTAGAAAAAGAGCTGCAGGAGCTCATTAGCATACAGTATGCTAATGAGCCACTAGGCTATTAGCATGATAAATCATTAGCATATGCAACGCCCCCTGACATCACCAGAAGAGATGTCAGAAAGGGAAGCAAAGGGGGGGGGAGGCATCTTCAAAAGCCTCCCTTCCCCTTCCCTTCCCTTCCTTAGCCGGGGGGGGGGGGAGGAAAAGAGAGAGCGGGTTTACTAGAGTTGGGCCGCAGAAGGAGGGAAGAGGGAAGGAGAGAGAGAGAGAGAGAGAGAGGGTAGAGAGAAGGAACGAAGGAAGGAAAGAGGGAAAGAAAGAGAAGGAAAGAGGAAAAGAAAGAAAAGGAAAGGAGGGAAAGAAAGAGAAGGGAAGAAGGAGGAAAAGAGGAAAAGGAGAGAATGAAAGGAGGGAAAGAAAGAAAGAGAAAGATCAAGAAAGGAAGAAGGAGGGAAAGAAAAGGAAGGGGAAGGAAAGGAGTGAAAGAAAGAGGGCAAAGAGATGGGGGGAGGCCCCCCCAATCAAGCCACCCCCGCGGATCCCTCACCCCGCTCCGGTGCTGGCTCGGGGAGGCGGCAGGGAACGTCTTCTGGTCTCCCTCCAACGCTGGCCCAGGGAGGCAGTAACAGGCCTCCCTGGGGCCGCAGCGCTCCAGTGCGGGCCCCGTAAAGGCACAATGGGCCTCCTCAGGCCTCCTTGGAGCCGCAGCGCTCCAGCGTGGGCCCCAGTAATGCGGTGACGGGCCTCTCTGGGGCCGCAGCGCTCCGGCACAGGCCCCAGGAAGGCGGCGACGGGCCTCCTCCGGGCCGCAGCGGTCTGGCGCTGGCCCGGGGAGGCGGCGACGGGCCTCCCTGGGGCTGCAGCGCTCTGACGCGGCCCCCGGGAAGGCAACGACGGGCCTCCTTGAGCCTCCCTGGGGCCGCAGCACTCTGGCGCGGGGCCCAGGTAGGCAGCAACGGGCCTCAGCCTGGGGAGCTGGGGACGGGGCTTGCTGCCGCCACCATTTTGCCACCTCCTGGGCTCCTGGAGCAGTGCTCCAGCGCACTCCGGCCCCAAAAGACCCCTGTGTGTATGCCTGGAAGTCATAGTTGACTTCTGGCGATCCCTGGTGGGTCTTGGATGTTTCAGAGAGGTGGCTTTCAGAGTCTAGAAGGAGATGTTTGAGGTTTGGTTTTGTTCTTCCAGTGTGTCTGCACCTAATACTTCTAGAGCTTGAAAGTTTGAGTTCTTGCTTTCTCACATGCTGATTTCTTGGCAGAAAATCCAGGTTCTTCATGCTCCGTTGCAAATACTACTCGTTGGAGGATTGTAAGTATGATGACTCATTGCTTGTCTAATTGCTAGCCTTGGATGTATTCTATAGATTTTGCTTGTGAGTGTGCTGTTATTAGTGTGTGTAAAGTTACTTATATGAGCAGAGAGAGAGCTGCAAACAGGATACCTGCAAAACTATTTTCCTTTTTTCATGCCTGTGCAGGCCAGGTTTGAGTAGTGTTCTCACACCACTAATGGTTACCATTTATCCATCTTAAACTGGATGTCGGAAGGAAAAAAAATGGTTAATTGAATCTCCTAGCATGCTAGGTACAATTACTACTGTTGTGCATCTAGTGTGGGGTGAAGGGAAGGTCATTAGCAGCTAGTGTGGAAAGGTTTCTGGCAAGGATTTCATCAGGTGCTGGGGCAGATGGGTTCTTGGTCTGGCTCCATATAAAACAATTTCATATCTACCCACAAGGAGCTTGTGAATTGCGGCAACTATTACATGGTAAATCTCCAGAAACAGGTTGGGAGACACCAATTTTGTAATGGTCTGTCTTTAATGTCTTGCAGCCTCGTGTTCATGGTCCCATTCGCTTGTGCACTCTTCCCACAAAGGAGGTAACAGCCTTCTCCTTCTCCCTTGTCCTCTATGCTCTTTCCTTCTTCTTTCTGTACAAATGTGATATCTTCTGGATTGGGAGGGCAATGCCGGTATCGTTGCGAAACAGCTTCAGCTGATGGGCAGGTTCTCATTATCAAGGGACATAGTATGATGGGAGAAGGAGTTCATCTTTTCTACCCAGGAATGGTTTGGGTTTGTGCTCAACAAAAATACAGCATTCATGTCTGCGGTATGCATGTCTGCTGGGCAGTAAATCCCACTGACTTTAATGGAGACTTACTTTCTCGTAAACATATTTAGGAATGCAGCCTTGATGACGAAGAAGTCCTTTTACTGTTATTGATGTGTTTGTGGAAGAAAGAACCCATCAAAGAGCCTCCTGGGCTTTATTTCCTACCCAGAATTTTTTAACTGAAGGAGCCATGTCTAGCTTTGTTGTGTGTGATTCTTTGAATTCTGCCCATTCACACACAAACAAATCAATATACGTCACATGTGGAAGCAAACCAGCTGTTTCATCTGTGATCCCATGACTTTTCCTAAGAAAGCTCACCAACGGCTCTTTATCTTTGTCTGGGATTTATTTTTATATTGGTCCCACTCTTTTGTGCTTAACTGTCCCCAAAATGGGATTGGACAGGGAGTATGATCCTCACTCGAATACTCAGGAGCTATAAGCCTAGATTCCCCAGGGAATCACTGGCCTCAGATACATCTGCATGCTCTCTAATTTACCAGTATTGACCATGTGGCATGCCCCTTAGGGAGTGCATGCATTGTACTACTTCAGCTTCTGCCTCCATTGATCACGTCTTACTGTTGTGGATAGAAGAGAGACAAAGCTGCAGCTCCCTCAGGGGGATCATCCATGCACGGTTGCATCAGGCAGCTGCCCACTTCATCTCACTCAGATTCCTTTGGCGAAGGAAAGTGTGTTGAGTGGAGATACAGAATGGCAGTTGTGAGCAAGCCACTGGCTCCTCCAGTTACTCGACTAGAGTTGATGCTAGTGCCAAAACTAAATGTGAATTGCAGCTAGGCCTATAATATGTGAGCTGCACCCCTTCCTTTGGTCCGTTGCTTTTGCTTCACACAGGAAGAAACAAGGCCTGGTAATGTGAAGCTGTTTGTTCAGTTTTACACAAAGGTACTCAAAGGGTGAGGTCATGGCTTAGTGGCAAAGCATCTGCTTTGTCTGCAGAAGGTCCCAAGTTCAGTTCCCATTGTTTCCAGTTAATAAGATGGTGTGTTCGGTGATGCAAAAGACCTCTGTCTGGGACCCTTGAAAGCTGCTGATTCAGTAAAAGGCAGATTCATGTGTTCAAATCTAAGTTGGGTTGTCCTTGCTAAAGTACTGCCTGTCCCCATGGTCATCTATACTAGCATGGTAGCCAAATGTCTTTCTCTTTTTATTCCAGCTCAATTGCCATTTCAAAGCTGGAGCCTGACCTCAGAGAGTCTGTTGTGGCCAAACACGGGGACAAAGTGTCATGTGTCTATTTTAACAAAGGCTTGTGAGTAGAACTTCTGTTCGAAGAATGGGCTGGATCTGCTGACCATCTTACCCCAGAATCTTCACCTGATGGCACATGGTCGACAGATTTGCTCAACATACTCCAGAAAGAGCAGTGCTTTACCTTCATCCCTCTGTTCCCATTGCTTTGGGGCGAGGTTGCAAATTGATGGGCAAATATAAGAGGTTTAGCCTCACATCTCTTTTTTGCATCCCCATTCATCTGTCAGAAAATGGATTTGGGCTTTGATGTGAGGTAATAGCTTGTGCTCAGCAGAGAGAACGTCTGGTTCTCTGCCTCTGCCTGGTCAGAAATGGAACAATAATCTTTAACACCCTAGTTCTTCTTTACCCTGTGAGGCTTTTCCTCTCAGCTTTGAAGTTTATACCTCAGTGTCCTTGCCTGCTCCAAGAAAGAAGCTTTCCAGTTGCCTTACATTTTTCCGTAGAGTCCGCTCTGCACATAGGAACACTATCTTAAGTCCGTGTATTGTGTAATGAATCAAGTCAATCATAAAGGGACAGAATATCCTTGTATCCATTTCTGCTGACTTCAGGAAATCCAGAAGGGGATTAAACTCTCCCTGAGCTTGTTGTAAAGCCCATACCTGCATTTGACTATGCTGAAGGCCAACACATTTGGTGTAGTTCAGATTGCCCATAGGTGACTGAAATATTCTGATCTAGGTACCATCTCCTTAGTTTACTGACATGAAAGCTAGTTTGTTCATACCTTTGCATTCCTTGATCAGGTAGCTGGCTCAATTCTAATGTCTTACAAGCAGACCTTGCATGATTTTAGATTTAACTCATAGGTGCACAACATTTGGCCCATGGGCCTCATGTGGCCTGGTAGAGCCATGTTGTGCAGTCCATAATCCCCTCCAATAAGGACCGGGGGAGGAAGGTGCCAGCACAGTGATGTTTCTCCTCTCCTTGGGGTGGGAAGGTCAGAATGTTAACTCTCAGTCCAGAGAACAGCCAAGAGGCAGTGTTCTGACACCCCCCCCCCCAAGCCAGAGATGTCCTAGGATGGTCTACTGGTCAGAATACCTTAGGGCCACATGGTATGCACCACTGACTGAACTAAACGATAATGCTAGACAGCTGAATATGTTGCTGGAACAGCTGGCATTCACTACTCCTTTTTTCTTAGCAAGTTTAGCTGAGTCCTTGAGAAGTTTGCCTTAAATGGCAGTGGTATTGCTTAGGGAACCATGATGCAGACGAAAATGGACCAAACCACAGCAATGTCTGGTGATCAGTTGTTCCAAAGGAGGAGAAGAACTAACTTTGACCAGCTCAGATAGGCTACTGGCATTAACAATACTTTGATGATTTTCGCTATGTTACTCCCAATGAGGGCTTGTAGTCTGGGAGTTGTGGCATAGTGGCCAAGAGAGCAAGTTGAGATCCAGGAGGTGGCTGGTTCAGATCTAATCTATGCCACAAATTCACTAGGTGGCTTTAGGTCAGCCATTCTCATCATCTTCCACTCCCAATACAGGGGCAATACTGCTGACCTGCCATATGTGCTTGATGTAAAGTTTACTGTGATAATCTGTGTGAAGTGCTTTGAACACTGCAAGTGCTATGTACATGTTAAGTATTATTATAACTTGTCAGTTATACTCCTCTCTTTGTGGTCTTCCTCCACCCTTGCCTGCGCACGCCTCCATCCTCTGTGCATCTTAGAACTATGCAATTGGGTTTTTTTCCTACTAGGCGCTATGCCTGTCTTTTCAGAAGGTCTCTGTTATACTTGTTCATGACCAAAATTTCTCCTAGGTGGTTTCCACATTGGGACCAGGCTTGTGCAGTTTTCCTGTGGCTGCCGTGGCTGGCGTGCAGTTTCCCTGCCCCCAGCAGCTGCCATCCCTCCTCCCCCAGTGCAATTGGAGCTTTTAAAATTTTTTAAATCTGCAGTTTCATATTGTTATATGCCTTTCCCCTTATATCTGTGCAATAAAAAATGAAAGCTGAGATTTCAGAGAACCTGTTACCCTTGTTGTTATAACAGTGTTGTCAATATAACATAACATTACTCGTTGTTGTTTTTTTTAAATACCCCCTCTGGTGGTAGGTGGAGGAAACAGGAACAGGATCCAGTGAGAATAGCTGCCAATTCTGCTCATATACACAACAGTCTCCTCCCTCTCCCATATTGCTCCTCAGGGATCCATTTTGGGAATGAAGTGGTTGCACAATATCTTGCTTAAACAGAAATGCTATTGGGGATACAATAAGTAACTTAGCACAAGTGACTACCACTGCCTTTTTTGGGGTGTGTTTCCCCTCGAGGAAGAGCTCCAGCGTAAGCAGACGTTTTGTGCTGGGTCCAATCCATTATTTGTGATTTGACCTGTGAATGAGTAACTGTCTAATCAAAATCAAGTCAGTGAAGTGATTGGATATTGGTGCCATTTCCCCCTGAGATCTTGGCTCCCCATGCCCATGTATGGGAAGTAATGCAGGTTGCTTATATGCATATAGGCAAAGGGATGTGATATAAATGAGAATGTTTTCTGTTTTCCTTTAAAAAGATGGGTCTTAACTGCCTGCATTGCCTCCCCAGCACTAACTTCCTGAAAAGAGAATAAATGCCTAGACCTAATTCTTACAATGGAGATAAAGCCGTGTTTGGGCTGTATCACAACCCCCCCCCCCCCCCCCAAGTTCTCTGCATATGGAAAACTGGCATGTCTGGGAAAAGCCTAGGCTAGAATGCTTCTCTCAGGTTTCTAGATCTTAATGTGATTTTTTTTGTGTGGGGAGTCTTCAGTCATACAAGACCATACCTGCACTCTGAAATTATGCAGCCCAGATATGTGGGGGAAGTAGACCTGTGAATTAAGTTACTGCACCAACTTAGTGTAATGACTAAAGTGTTGGACTGGGGATCTGGGAGACCCAGGTCCTGATGCCCACTGTGCCACTGAAGCTCCCGTGGCTACCTTGGACCACTCACTGTCAGCCTAACCTACCTCGTAAGGTTACTGTGAAGTTAAAATGGAGGAGGGGAAACCTATGCACATAACTTTTGGCTCCTCGCAGGAAGGATGGAATAAAAATGTACTTCATAAATAAAAACTGTTCCCCCCCTCCACCCCACCCCACACAAAGCTGTTAGCCCTTAGAAGGGAAAAGGGGTGGCAAGAGACTAACAGAGGCGGTTTGCCATTGCCTGCCTCTACGTCACAACTCTGGTATTCCTTGGAGGCCTCTCATCCAAATAATACCCAGGGCAGGGAGCAAAGTGGAAAGTGCCATCAAGACGCATCTGACTTATGGCAACCCCCTTAGGGCTTTCAAAGCAAGAGACATTCAGAGGTGGTTGTCCATTGCTTGCCTCTGTGTCATGAGTCTAGAATTCCTTGGCGGTCTTCTATCCAAGTATGAACCGAGGCCAACCCTGCTTAGCTTCTAAGATCTGATGAGATCAGGCTAGTCTGGGACATACAGGTCAGGGGCATACAGTTCAGGGAGTGTTAAACCAACTTGTTCCCCCTTGGCACCCCACATTTTAAAAAAACTTCTGAGAGGATCCGTGGGTCTCCCAGTCTTATTTGTGTATCTTACCCAAGAGACTACCGGGATACACTCTGAAACAGCTACTGTTTCCCCTGGCACGTGGTGATTTTTTTCCTGGTAAAGGGGAAAGCATGTCTGCCCATAGTGCATCCAACTGTACCATCATAGCAGCAGGGTCTAGGATGCAAGTGGCACATCACTGCCACCACCACTGATTCCTGGCATTTGTCTGGGTTGGAGCCAACCAACTTTGATTCTCCCTGCTAGCATTACTTGAGAAGAAGGCAAGTAGCACGGGGG